CTCCTCCTCCTCTTCCTCCTCCTCCTCCTCCCCTTCTTCTCTTCCTGCCTCTCTCAAAGAGGATACATTAGTTTTTCTGCGATCACCTAGACTCCAACTTTTACAGCTAGTTACCTATGTCCCCCCCAGATGAACATTGTCTGTTGTTGTGCTAACAGCCTAAAGCTGATGCACATTTCCACATCACTTGTGTGTGAAATAAAAACAGACACCCAGCCGAGGGCTGGCAGAGGTACCGATGTGGCATTTCGTCGCGTGTAGAAAATACAGATCTCAAGGTAATTACATTAGATGTTCGAGCATGGATAGGTGTCTGTGAGTGGAAAATTCCAGGAGTCTCATTCTGTACTTGAAGTCAACAAATACGATCGGATTTATTTATAAGTTAATTTCTTTGATCACGCACGGTCGTTCTAAAATATTTATTCAGCGTCTGCTGGGGGAGAGATACCATTCTCAATAATGAATGGAGTTAGCCAAGGAGCGAAAGACGCCACGTAGCAATGATACTAAGTGATCATGGCCCCCATCACCACCCCCAAATATAGTTCACTTTGAGAAATGTGAATAAAAAGATGATAGGTAGTCAGAGTTTTAAAAGAAAGACGTTTTAGACTGCTGGGAGTTTAATGCTAGAAAGATCTGTCATTCGATCTGGGAACAAATCGGTCTTTGACTGCCTGAGCTTCAGGTAGAATTTTTTTTTTATTCCCTAATTTAGCATATTGATTTTAATCTTATTTTTTGAATGTGTGTGTGTGTGTGTGTGTTGCACAACTAGTGTTTCTCCATTTAAATTCTATTAAGTGCTATTTTATTTTGTGTTGGTTTCCATCCTGTGGCTATTACAGAATCTCTTAGGGATTATCAAACAAGCCATTAATAAGCTATAGATTTGTATTTCTCCCTGTGAATCACCTGAACAAGAAGAGGAAAAATGATAAGGGAAATAAAAAGCATCCTTTCCACTAAGCTATTAGTGGCTGTTATAACTCTGGCTCAGCTACATATTTACAGAAGATGGAAATGATTTTTTTCCCAGTGATATTTAACATCCTAAAAGACATTTTCATCCCCTCCCAAAAAAAGATAATTAAAAAGAAAAGAACACTTACAGTTTTGAGCAATGTTCCCAAAGATCTGTGCTTTATGGTCTATTACTTTGAGGATGTTGTGATATTTTTCTATTGCTCTGAGGATATTGTGATATTGTCCGTTGTGATATTGTTTGTGTGGTCGAAGGCTGCAACGTCTCGAGATATGTCACAAACCACGGCTTTGATGAAGTTCTACGCGTTTTCTATGGAGACATTTAAAAGCCATAAGAAAAGAGGAGAAATAGAGACAGAATGATCTCCCGAAGTGATAGCTGTTACCATTGATTTCAGTGTTTTCTTCTTCTTTTTAATTGCTTCGGCCCACAATTAGCTAATGCGGATGACAGGAAGAAAGCAATGGGGGTAGTGTATACAGAGTTTCCAATATTCTAGGATAATTAATGCCTTTCTGTCCATAACAGGTCTGGTGCCATTTCTTTTATTTTGGCAGTGGAAGGTAAAAGAAAAAAAAATGTGGATTTTCTTGTCAGACAAGATTTACCCAGAGACAGGTTTATTTCTTAAAGAAAGACGTGGAGTGTCTTTTTTAAACTTCCTCTCTTAAGAATACTGACCCATCTGGTGCGATCCCTCGGATCATGAGCATTTATATAATCGAGACCCAGCAAAGTCTGTCGACACTGTCTTTTGCTTTTACATAAGTCTTGGTGACCGATGTGTCTGTTGCTTTTCTGACGCTTGATCACCAGCTAAAGTTCAGAGCTGGAAGCTGATCGTGTTTATAGTAGTTAAAGTGGACGAGCCATGATTGGATTCATCAAGTGGGAACGTGGAGTCTACCTGGCGTCAGAAGGATTCCCTTGGTTACCACCGACTTTTATTTTATTTCAGAGTCTGCGCATCAAGTAGTGAGCTCATCATCCGAGTTTGATCATTAAGACGTTGTATACAAGGGTCCGCCCAGACCGAACAGGAATATTCATGTTTGCATTCCTTGGCAAATCGGAAGCAGTGGAGGAGATCTGGAACTTTCTATGATGAAGTTTTACTGGGGGTGGGGGGGTAATTTGGGGTGTTTTTACTTGCTGGTATTTTATGTTTGCGTCCTGTCGGTTTGGTTGAAGGCTGCGGCATCTTGTGGTGTATTTTCTGCAGCGAACTGATGGAGGTTGACAGGTTGGCCTGTCTCAGAATGGTGTCTTCTCAGATGGGTTGGTTGTTTTTTTTGGTTCGGGTTGGGTTTTCTTGGTTTTTTGGGGGGACCGGGGGGGGGTTGGTTTTGCTTTTCTGACTGCCCACATGACAGCCACCTCTAGAATGAGAAGCTATAGAAAATCAAAGTGGGGGACAGGACTCCAATCTCCCTAAAATGATTTGAGGCCTAGCTCTGGCAACTGTAGCTTTCATCCACTTTAAGATAATAATACAATAACTCTAAAAGAGAAAAGTAAAATAAAGTCCCACCCTAGAGGACTCCCCCCCCAAAAAAATCCAGCCCATAACTTTGTTCCATGCTGCCAATCAAACCTGGCGCTCCCCCAATTTTGATGGGGGGGTTAAATTTAGATTGGGGTTCAGTGACATCCCCAAAAGCAAATAAGAACCTGTGGTGAACGTTGCTTCGTCCAGCAATTCCAGCACACTTTCCTGCTTGTTCACATGAAGTCAAGTATTAATTCTTTTTCCTCCTTCATAAGGATGGTTTGGTAGACTTAGACATTTGGG